ATTTTATATCGCGACATCAATCCATGCGAAGAAGTGTCTGGTCTTCGGTCGAAGTATTCTATGTGGTAATAAGCTTCCTGACGCCTTAATGGTCGTATAATTTTTTGTGTGCTTGACTCATACCAATGCCTAAGCTGACTCGTAACTGCTGGTATGTCACTCTCTTATCTTCCTCTATCATAAGTCGCATTGATATTAATATCAAATATCGCTGTTTAAGGACGTCCCTCATGCTACGTCTACGCTTAAACTCATTAAAGTAATTGTAAACAGTGGTACGCAACGGAGCTTCATTATTAAATACCAACCGAAGTGCTTTATAGTTTTGTTACTGATTAAGACCACAATGAAAGTAGTAGTAAATCATGGACTGAAAATTTTCTGACATTAAATTCATTATGAGGTGCAACAAGACTTTTGAAATTGCTGCGTACAATTATTTGATATATTAAATTAAAAAGAACGGTAGAAAGTTTAAACTTTAAGCATAGACAGGTTTCAGTGTCTTTTATGATTCCACTATTATTTCAATTAATAAATAAGACTAAAAGTTCGATGGTTATTTCGAACCGATTGTGTGCAATTTTGGTATATTTAAATATTATTTATCTTGTGTTCGCTACATTAACTTGCTTCTATAAAATGTGTATTAACTCTGTTAATTAGGAAAAGTATTACAGTTAAATTTATTCCGCCCATTTCTCTTCGTCCTTTCTTAATTTCTTTAGCGGCTAAGCGCTTGTTAATTTTTTCAACTGCGAGTGCAAGATTAAGCAAAATGTACCGCATTTAACTGACAGAAAGCCGTCATAAGCTCCAAGATTTGCTTACCCATTACTTTTATCAAATGAGTATTAATATTGAGTTATCTTATTAAAGTAAGTGCTTTACGAGATAATAAATAAATACAGTCTACTCTAGGTATTTTTATTTAAGTATTTTTTTAGTTATCCCTAAATGAGTCAAGTAGGAGCTAAAACTGGAGCTACTTATCTTACTTATTTAATTAACATTGCAAAGCCGTTTTCAGCAACACAGTTTTTAAAATTAAACCTAACAAAATAATCGAAACACCATAAAAACGATAACTTTGACAAGCTAGTTGTGGTTATGTTCAATTTATTTTCGTGTACAAATAGAGAATTAAAGTTTGAATCCCTTTTACTTCAAGTTACATCCTGTTTTTTTTTTTAGAAGAATTTAAACTTTCCTAGTTTAAATGCTCACCGCGTTGTTGTGGTTTTATAGCGCAACTTCGACCGTATGTATATTGGAAGGAAATTTATTCTCAAACTAATATTCAAGAATAAAAGTTTTCAATAATATGTTACACATGGTTCTAATTTCTAAAGAAAAAGTGTCTGTTTTTCACATAAACCATAAGTCATCTCTCACTACAAAATTAAAAAAAACATTTATACGCTGCAAAAAAATCTAAAACAGTAGTGTCACAAAAATGATACAAAAAATGCATAATTTCTTAGAAACGGTATTACAATTATTTTAGATTTGGAAATAGCTAAAAGTTTTTATTTTTTTTTGTGACGTGTAGTTTGCTGTTAGCCCGGCGGCTTTGACAGCTTCGGCGGAAGAGGTCCGCGGGCAGACGACCCACGGGCTCGGGAGAACAACGTAGCTGGTGCACGACGACGACAAGAAAACGCCGTCCACTCCGCTGCACTCCGCAACACCCTGCTAACGAAAGATGGACAATCGACTAACAGGGGGGGGGGGGGCACGACACGATCCAAGGGCCCCTCGGATGGAGGTTCGAACCTCGGCTTGGATCGCAATCGATATGGGGACCTACCCAGAGGAAGGAATTAGGTTGAAATTGTGATTTAATCCCGAGACGTATTGGCGTTGCGATATCGCTTATGGATGAATAATTATACAAACAATTATTCATTAGAGCAATTTGTTTACGAGATTTGTTCATCTTTATTAACATGTGTTAACGGTGTTAACAATGTTAATAAAAACAATGCATTCACGAAAACATCGTCCAAAAAATAAAGGTTATACAATTAATCACGCAGCGACGGACTGCGCGCGGGAGGATCCCGGCGGGTGGCGCCTCGTTAGGCGTTATGTCGACGCGGCTACGTGGCGCCTCGTTGAGCGCCTCTGACCGTGCTATGCTGTTTAGACATAGCGCCGTTGCGTTTTCGGGCGGCGGCTGAATATTAAATATATTAATCGCGCGCGTGAGTGTGTCGTCTGGATCATCTATAACGTTTAGTGGACAGCGTAGTCTCGGATGCACGGTCCGAGGGGGTGCGGGATAGATTCCGAAAGCTTTCACCAACGGATTTGTATGGGCGTTAATGTTTTTGAAGTGTCTTTTCGACGCTTCTTTAAAGAGGGTGGACAGGGATGTTATATTTAAGTCTCGATGCAAATCGGCATTCCGCACGTACCACGGTGCGCCTGTTGCGTGACGAAGGAATTTGTTTTCGAATTATTTGTAATGGCTTTAATCTATTAGGAGGTATATGCGCGAAACAAACATTCGCGTATGTCATAATGGGGCGAATACAGGTCTTATATAAATGTATTTTATGTTTTAGCGACATTTTACTTGTCGCTCTAGTGAGAGGAGCTAGGCGAAACATCACAAATTTAGCTTTATTGACTACTGCTTGTATGTGTTCTTTGAAGGTGAGGCGGCAGTCTAGAGTGACGCCGAGGTATTTGGCCTTATTTTCCCATGGAATGGGTTGGCCGTATAATTTAACGGGAGTGAGGTTTCTGCCTGATTGGCAATTAAACATGACAGCTTTACTTTTCTCCGGGTTTACCTCGATTCGCCACATTCTGAACCATTCGCCAATGGCGTTTAGTGCAGATTGCAAGCGGGTAATGATCTGGTTTTTGTTGCGGTCGGATGAGAATAATACTGTGTCGTCGGCGTATAAAGCCAACTCGACCTTATGGGTCCTGGGGATGTCACTTGTATATAGCGAGTATAGGGTTGGGCTCAATACTGATCCCTGTGGGGTGCCCGCTCTGAGGGGGCGGGGGCGGGAGAGAGTTCCATCGACTCGGAATTGAAAGCGGCGGTTCGATAAGTAGTCTCGTATGATTTTAACGAGTCGATCTGGCATGCCTAGTGAGTATAGCTTAAAAATTAATCCGTTATGCCAGACTTTGTCGAACGCCTTCGCGACGTCGAATAAGAGAATTCCTACCCTATTATCATTCCTCATGTATGCTGAACGGCGACTAGCAAGGATGTGCTCCGTGAGGCGGTGCACTTGTAGGACGCTCGAGTGCTCCGGCTCTAAAACCGAACTGTTCGTCGGGTATAATGTTTAGTGAATTAACGCATTTTTTAATCCTTGCTAGGATGATGCGTTCGTATATTTTTCCCATAGCAGAGAGAAGACTGATTGGGCGGTAGTTCGAAGCCCTGTTTCTGGGCTTGTTTGGTTTAGCGATACCTATGACATGCGCTACCTTCCACGTGTCGGGGAAGGTGCAGCTGTCGAGAAGAACATTAATTATTGCTACTAATAAGCAGATGAGATGGGCAGGGAGTAATTTAATTACTCTATTGGAGATTGCATCTGGGCCGGGCGCGGAACGTTTTTTAAGGTTTTTGACGATGGTCATGACCTCATCGACCGAAGTATGTTCGAGGGGCGGGTCCGTTGGTGGAGCCGCGGATCTACTTTCACCTTCCTCGTCCACCTTACGTAGGTGGCCGGGGTTAGTGGACTGCGTGCTGGGAGAGCATTGAAGCTCGAGGTTGTCTGCAAGGCATTCGGCCTTTTCGTCGTCTTCCAACGCCTTACTACCATCGGGCAGGGTCAGAGGAGGCATTGAGGAGACGTTTTCCGATTTGAGATTTCTCGCCAGCTGCCAGAAAGCAGTGTGCGATGGCGAAATATCCTCCATCAGAGTGTCCCATCGCTTCCCCCTAAATGCTCCTGCATGCGCTCTTTAACCTCTCTTTGGAGGCGGCGCATCCTGGTGCGATTTGCATCAGTCCGATAACGGTCGTATGCTCGGGTGGCTGCGTTCTTTTCCCGCAACAGCCGTCGGAGGCCCTCCGGCAATTCGAAGCGGCGATCATTCGCTACTACGATCCGCTCGGTTGAGTCACCGACTACAGTTTGGATGTGGGATGTGAGATCGGAGATCGCTTTAAGGGCGGTCTCGCGTGATTTTATCTAGGTGAGGTGAACTCGCGTTTTCGAGTCCCTTATATAATTTATCCCAGTCAGTCACGAACTTAGTCGTAGGGACCTTCGTGCTTGGCCGACCTAGTAATACCTTGACCGGGCGATGGTCAGAATTTAATTCAGAAAGTACTTCTATAGAATGAATCGGTAAGGAGACATTTTTAAGAATTGCAATATCTAATATATCAGGATTGTGAATTGTAGGTATTCTGGTCGGTTCCAGAGGACCTACAACGTCGAAAACTAAGTCATCCTGTGCGCTTAAGGCGAACAGGGCGCGTCCGTTTGCGTTAATACTATAACTATTCCAAGCAGTGTGCTTGGAATTTAAATCACCTACTATTATCACAGAGTCGCTTAATTTAAGCAGTGCCTCGATGTCGCCCTTTAATATGTGTTTATTAGGTGATAAATAAACAGAAGCTACTGTGATGGGCTGATGGCCTGTCATAGAGATTCTACATACGGACGTTTCGATGTTTACAAGTTGAGGAGGGTCGATCATAATGCAATGAAGAGACGACCTATAATAAATGAGCGTTCCACCACCCGGGCGGTCCGAGCGATCATTGCGTATGATTTTATAATTTGCGATACGCGGATCGCGCATGCATGGTTTGAAACGTGTCTCTTGCACTAGCATTATGTCTACCTGAAGGGCAGTTAGAAACTCTCTAATTTCATCCCTACTATTACTATTCAGGGAGTTGGCGTTGAAAAATACGACGGACAACGATTGAGGCTTAACCCTATCGCGGTTGAATTTAATCTCCGTGTTATTACCGCAGTTAAAATTATTAATGCAGGCCATTATCGCGCGCTTTTTAGAGCTTCGACCACTGCTGCGTGGTCGGCCAGGGCCCTTATACGTTCCTGGATATTTTTCGCGGACCTAATTTTATACGCGAGAGTGCTAATCTCAGCGAGATCAATCTTCTCTGCGAGTTCGCAGACAAGGGAAATGTCGCTGTCTATGCCGCCCTGCTGCCCGCTTTGCGCCGAAGGCGCTGGAATTGCTGGTTGGGGGGTCGTGATACTGGCCGGAGTCGACCGTTGTACCATCAGAGGTTTAGTCCATGCGTTAACCTTTGGGGCTGGCGCGGGGACCAATACCTCTGGGGGAGGTGGTTGCGGGAGGACGGTTGCGCGGGGGGAAGACCTCTGAGGCGCCCCTCTGCGACCGTTTTGAACCGGGCGCTTTCAGCGCGGGGCTTTTGGACAACCGCGATAATTCGCGGGATGTCCCTCGTTTACGCACAGCACGCAGCTGGGCGTTTTGGGGTCATCACGGGTGCGAGTGCACTCGGCGGTTGCGTGGTCGTCGAGGCACTTCACGCACCGGGGTCGGGCGTAACAATTGCGCGCCGAGTGGCCATATAATTGGCACCGGTGGCATTGCGCAGGAGCTCTTCGCTTGCGTGGAGCTTCGATTATGATGCCGGTCAGTGAGCACACTGCCCGGGCATCGAATATTTTCTTCCCCTCATCAGTGAGTGGGAGATGGCACATTACCATATTAAATGGTTTTTTTGTGCGAAGATCGTGCATACGGTGCACGTCAATGACTGGAAGTCCTTGCTGACGTAGGTCCTCCTTAATATATTCGGAGCTGAAGGGATCCGTTTAATAACGACTCTAAGTATGCGTTCATCTTCGAGCAAATACGTGTGGAAAGAAATTTGCCGTTCGGCAAGAAGTTTAGTTAATGCCCGGTGGTCGTTTACCGCTTGCGGTGAGACCTGAATACCGTGCACCAACAGTCGGGCTTTTGTGTAATTAATTTTACTGGCAACCATTAATTTTGATACGGTTTGCCATTTCTCCTTGTCCTGAATGATGACAGGCGGAGGGGCTTTGGGTGCCTTAGGGGCTGGGGCAGAAGGGGCGGAGGTGTCCATTGGCACCTGCTTTTTTGCCCGGGGGTTCTGACGCCCCTGTGGTGTTGGATTTGTGGCCTGCTTTTTAGCGAGGCCACCCGATTCGGCTTTGCGCCGTTTTCGGCCTTCAACGACAGTGAAGCCGTCGTCGTCGGAGCTGGGTCGAGAGGATGGGCCGGCGACTTCCAATTCAGTCACGGGCTCATCGTTTTCGGAGGCGGTGATCACCTCCATTTCTTCTCGCGACGAGTCAAAAACTGACGCTCGCGAGGAAGCGCGCGACGTTGCCACCGAAGCGCGGGAGACGCGAGAGGGGTCGCGGGACGCGGCGGGGCGGCCGTTTGGCGCCGGCGTAACGGTCTCGCCGACCTTGACGTTCGGCGCGGCCGCTGTCTCCGCCGGCCTTGCCTTTTTCCCGCGCTTTCTGCGCGACACGTAATTCGTTACGTACTGGACGTCATTTTCGTCCGTCTTTAAGTTAATCGCGCTCGCGGGCGCGGTTATCGGCGTATTGGTCACGCTGGGTTTCGAGGCCTCCTGTAGGCATTTCGCAAGGTCAACGCTGGGGAATTTCCTGGATCAGGTGTCCAAGATCTCCCTTAGTGCTGTAATGGCTGCCGGATCCATATCGACCGGTTGAATAACTTAAGTCTCCCTGCCCGTAGGCAGGGAGGTGAATACACGAGTTTAAGAAATTGTATGTGTATTACACACTAGACTCACCGGAAAAAGAAAACCCCACACGTATAACAGCTCAGGAACGCCGGAACGCACCAACACTACTTATACTACGCGCGGTGTCTCCGGAGACGGTCGGACGCGCAAAAAGGGCGGCGAGGCGCCCGAGGGACGCGCGAAAACAAACGTTCGCGCCAAATCTCGCTCGAACGCGGCAAAACACTCGGAACAAATTTGATTCTGTATAGACAGAACGACCAAAACTCAAACAAACCGAGTCGCAAACGATTAAACCGCTTTGCAACTTAGATCGTCAGAGCAAACGGAAAAGGCAGAGAAAGCGCGCAATCGGACGTGCGATCTGCGCCAGTTGTGACTGATATGATAGCTAAAAGTGTCTAGAAAATAACTACCTCAATATATCCAGTCTCTGTGAAGCTAGTTTTTCACTTAATAAGAATTTTTCTATTTCAAGTTCCTGATTATATCTCACGTTTCATCCTGCACAAATTATTTTATGTCATCATATATAACAGTACGGACCGCCACGCTTTAGCGTGTTTAAAGTTCGTAAAGATCTACCCGTATTCACCGGTGTATCGCCAGGGTGGCATTATGAAACAAGGTCAAGCTGGCTTTATCACAAAGCTCGTGAATGGAGTAGACTCAAAATATCTCTAGTGTTAAAAAATATGTGGTAAATGTATGCGACGTCAATCTCCACAAAAGCGAACGATGTCAAAATTTACTATGTTTACTAGTTTTAAGACAAGTCTATAATACCTGCCACTAAGCATTACCAGTGGGCGGGGTGGAATACTGCAGTTATGAATGTAAAGTAGAAATGGACAGGACATTTAAGCTAGGCGAAATTGTTTTAAATGGTGAGCAACAAAATTGAATTATTGTATATTTAAAATCAAATACTTTTATTAACCAAAACATTGCTCGTACTACGAATGATAATGCAAAAAACTTTAACATTATTGCAAAAAGGAAACATGGAAGATATACGACGTTTGCTAATAACAAGGAGCCGCTCGGCCAAATAAACCTTCATACGCGAATATTGCCTTTGGCTAACAGTTATGTGTTTGTATTATCGTCTTTTTATGAGACATACACAATATTACGAGGTATTTGTATGTAATACATGGACGCTAAAATGATCATCGTTGATGAGGGTCTCCCTACGTCTATTTGAAAAGGGTCTAACGTTCATTGTTTGCATACTGACCTCAATTAAGCTTCATTCATTAGAGTCCCTTCTTATATTCAATTATATCGTCAAGGATAGACATACAAAACCTATTTTATTTACTTTAAGAATATGCTATTAGTATATAAATCAAATATGAAAAGACCGAAGGCTCTTTTAGCAAAGTAAAATTACGCAGTGAATAATTACTACAAATATCACCATAAAACAAGCCATAATTATGTAATTTTTAAAGTGTATTGTACTAAGTCAATAGAAATTTAAGCACAGTACAAACACTTAATAATGTCTCTTGCGACAGAGGGTGTTGGATCCATATTACTAGAAAAATATTGTGTGATGAACATAGTGTCTGGGTTTATAAATCTATAATGTGTATTTATTTACACGAGAAAAGTAGGTTTAAGCATGTTTATCGGTTACCTAGAACCTTTACCCGCCCTAGGACTAGGTCCCAAAATATTTTATTCTTTGTCCCAAAAATATTTAGTATTCGTGACTTGTTCATTGTTAAGTACGGTTTGCGCAGCGGAAGATCTTAAAAAAAAACGATTCAATTTTAAATTAGTATTTAATAAACATATACAATAGTTTATATATATTCTCGAGTGGCAGCCTCGTACTGGCCATCGCAGTGTAGGACGACCCCCCCACTAGATGGAGTGACGACCTGTGCAAATGTGCGGGAAGTCGATGGATGCAGGTGGCTCAGGATCGTACTTCGTGGCAGTCTGTGGGGGACGCCTATGTTCAGCAGTGGACTCAAACAGGCTGAAATGATGATGATGATGATACAATAGTTTATCATTGCGCTATTGATGCAGGTGCAGTAGGAGTCTGGTGGAGTAACAAGTTAAACAGATCGTTGTATAATATTCCAAACATATTTACTAAACAATAAAAAATAGAATGCATTTTGTTGTTAGGAATTTATGATATGAGTAAGATCGTCGTGGAACATGGCACGAAATGTACGTAAATACTAAATGTGTTTACCCCTTTCATATGCTCTCTCAACATAAGAACCAGACAATAGCCCCATCGGGAGTTACAGTTGAACGGCACGAAAATCAGAATGCACAACGTCGTTTACGACTCCGATAACTAAGGTATACGTTTATATAAATAAATTGCCCATCACGAAAATGTATCATAAGAGGAAACATATCGGGAATTTCTTGCCTTCTATATTTACAACTATAACATGTAGGTTGATGTGTTATCGATCCAGGTTTCTCGAATTATTTGGCGTAGTAACCGTTGTCAGATCTACGATCGTGTGGTTACAGGTTCGGATACCGCGAATCGATACGCCTGATGTTTTAATTGACTCACACACAAATTTGGAAAAACAATTGTGAATTGAGAAACCTCCTCCTTTTTTGAAGTCGGTTAAAAAGTAAACACCATTCTGTATAATAATGGTCATAAAACCTCTTATCATACGGAGTAATATGGTAATAATTTTACATGCAAAACAAAATGACTAGTTACCATGAAGATAATGCAGTATAAAATTCCTTATGAGTTCCCCCATTGAATGAATGACTAAGGAATGGAGTTTAAAGAGCTAATGGAATTTTTATCACCGTTTTCCTTTGAACAAAGCTCGTTAATCTTGCAATACTGTCTGCGAGGAATGCTGAAGTTGCTGAAGTGCACTATTTCGCAGTCGTTATCGTTTTATATCACGCTCAAAATTTAAAATTTGCCACAAATAAAACAACTAACTGAATACATTGTTATTAATGTTTTGTGCTAACAAAAATTGATTGTATTGTAAGTACAGGTGCATCATGAGTGTAATGAAATACAAATAGAAATTTATTTTATTTACAAATAGGATTAATTTTATTTTATATGGGAACCGAAGTATGGAAATTTAATGAAATAATTACAGTTAAATAAGTATCTCTCTAAGTACAGTATGTGTAGTTAGTTTTCAATTCAACAGGACTATAAACACCACACGCCTCTAAGTGTCTGCCGCAGATATTCCATGCGCTGGAAGGCACTACCAAATTACATCACGAAACGTTATTAGTTAGCCGCTTATCGCTCCTGACAAATCTGGCATCATATCAGAATCTAGAATCCTTAGGAGACATAAGAATAACGCTTTTTCGTACTGAAACGGTAGACGAAAAGGCTGCTTAAAAGGATTAACGATAAACCAAAGTACGTGGCTTAAGCGGTAGACTGGAGGTAAGTTCTTAACCTGGTTCAAAAACTCAAATGGATGTCCTCGATCCAAAGACGTCGGCAAATTTCCTGAAGGCCACAATCGCACCTTAATAATGGTATCTCTTTTTGATCTTCAGATGCAGAATATTGAACTTTGTTTCTTGGGTCAAGTCGCATTGCTTGGATTACAGAGAGTAGCTGTTCCGTGTACCTCCATATTTCAATCACGCGGTTCTCAGACGCGGACTGGTTGTCGTCGTTTATCATAGCATCATACCGTGTTTTGTAAAAGACGCAAAACCAAATCTTGCCTCTTCACGTGTGGTTTCTATTACAAGTTGGTAGTTGTTTCCTCTTACATATTCTAACAGATTTCAGTGGACCCTATCAACCCTCGCGGTTCTTTATCCTTCTCCGTCAGTTCCGTGAGGGACATGACATATCCAAGTAACATTGCAATATGATCAGGAAGTGTTTATCGTCCTGGCAAAATAATATACTCTGTGTATATTATTTTACCATAGCATATACCTATATATTCACAGAAATATTTCGATATCTATCACAGCCATCAGAGACTTTATAAAATAACTAGTGGACCTGTACACGCGACTAAAATCCGACAGCAACGTATAACAAAAAAAAGAATTGTGAATCTAAACCATCCTGGGCTCCACCCAAACGCATACAAAAAATCATTCTAATCTGTCCAGCCGTTAAGGAGGAGTTCAGTGACAACATACGAACAGTAGAATTATATATATATATAGATAAAGTCATATATTCTTATTATTTCCTATCTTCCACAACACAAAGATTTCACAATATAAAAAGTAATATGAACAAACACTATTCAGACTTAGTTCTGTGGAAAAACTGAAGAATAATTCTATACGACGTTAAAAAATAAATAATTATTTACACACATTACGTACTAATTAACGTAAGAGATATGAAGTTAACTCGCTATCTGCAAAAATTGCGCGTATGGCACTTTTGCCAAATAGTCGTTTACAGTTGGCACTACGTAACTCCTTAAAGCTTCGGCTATCGTGCCACGATAACCTTCAAGGATCTCGACGCCTTCGCTGTTTAAGATCCTGTTTATGGGCCAGAAACTGTTCTCCAGGGTTGCCTGAAAATATTATTACATGCTTAATAGTTACATTTTTTTAAATAAATTAACGACGACAGCGTCACGTAGAATTTATTTTGTTATGGCATTTGGTTTTTTCGTCATGATGAATAACATCTTTTTTAGCTAAGATGTATGGATGATTAGATGGAATAATAAATTATTATAAGATGGTGATAAGAATTCTGGTGGATTTTGACAAATATAAATAAATAATAGCTTTATAACGGATCAAGTTAAATTTTCTCACCTCTATTTTCTTTACGTCGAATGTAAGTAAAAAGTTCTGCATTGTGGTACCGGCGTCTTTAGTTTTACCAAAACGTGCTTTTGCTGTTATTACGGAATCTCGAAATATCAATCTGAAAAAAGTTTTTTATTTACTTTTTTAAAAATTTGGTTAGCAAGAAGGAACGTTATTAAACTAATGGATCTGTTGATTTGAAATTACTCACGCTTGCGTCTTTAATTTGTACCACTTAAATTTATCTAATTTAAATATGTATGGCGTCGGGGGTCGTGGGTTCGATTCCCACACGGGAAAACTGTTTGTGTAACCCAAAGATAGTTGTTTCGAATCTGGGTGTTTGTCCGCGTGAAATTTATGTTTGTAAAACGTCCTTACAACACAGGATAATGTTATCCTAAAGTAAGGGCAATGTTTTTTTTTTAAATATAAACAAATTTATTCATCATATTTATTACAAGTTGTTTGTTATAACTAAAACTAAAGTTGATGGTATCTAACTTACTGCATTCTGCCAGATCCTCTTAGTGGATATAAATAATACGCCCATCCTTTTATTTTGTAACTTTCTAAAAAGAAAATAAAAGTATATTTTTGTTTTATACATATATAAATAAACATTAATGGAAGTTTTTATAGATAATTTTAACCATTACTCAATATATTACTTAAACCCCAAATCTGTGTAAACTATAGCCCTTTGTATAGTTTTAAGTATGACCTAATTATACATTGTTAAGTAAGCATGCCTTTAACTGTGTTGTTGGTGAAATTGTACTGCACGATATAAACACCCAGACACTGGAAAAACACTATACTGTTCATCACACAATATTTTTCCAGTAGTGGGGATCAAACCCACGACCTTTGGCGCTAGTGGCAGGTTCAGCGACTAAGCCAATCGGGTCGTTAAATCACGCTTTTGACAATTATTATTTTAACGAACGGTACACGAATTTACTCAAAGAAAAAGTAAAGTAAAGTAACAGCCTATACATGTCCCACTGCTGGGCAAAGGCCTCCTCTATACAGAGGGTATCAGGGCATAGTCCACCACGCGGCTCCACTGCGGATTGGCGGACTTCACATATTTTCGAAATATATACTATATTTTTTAGTATTACTTCGAAAATATGCAGGTTTCCTCACGGTGAAGGAACACCGCGTAGCACGCGATAAGTCAGCACTTAAAGTACCCTTCCATTTTTGTATTACTTTCTTAACCATCTTATCCGGTTGCAAATAAAATACCTCGCCTTGTCGACAGAGTTTTGCAAGTGATGTTAAGGATGTTTTTAATTGTATTACACTCTAGGGATCGCTTGTTGTTAAGTACAATGAGTGATTTACGAATTGCGAAACCGTTGTATTAATTGTGGCATTGCTGCGTTGAAGTGACATCGTATCAAACTGATAACATACCAACGGAACGGTTTTTAGACATTTTGATTGTTTACTGAACAAATCAATTATAATGAAAAATTGTCATTTTTTCCCATGGATAAAAAACTACTGGTTTTTGAAAAAAGTTATAATGTTCGCTTAAAGTAATATAAAAATGGTTACTGTAACATCAGGGACTTAAAGAGCTTTCGCCTGTCATCTCTCGCTTTTTTATCTATGTACTTACCGGAAGCGAGAGTTAAAACTGGGAAACGAAGCGTCAAAGATACCTCCAAAGCCTTTACTGAACCAGCGATGTTTTCAATTGTGAATCTATCGAGTCCAATTAGTAGCATCTCCCCAATGGAATAATCTAACCTGTTTGAGATAAATATTATTTAAGATGTGGCGTTTCTCAAATACTTACAACACAAATATAAGTCTTGAGTCTTTGTACCTCCGTGGCAATAGATTTCAGCCATTGCTATCTGATTTCTTTAATACATCCTTACATGGTGAACCTGTCGTTCTAAGTAATTTTTCACTGAATAATTACTAAAAATGTAAACTCTTTATGGTACATCATTTTTAATAGAAGTCGTGAGCTAACTTATGTTGCTACATTATTAACAAAATGTACTTTTAAAATTAAGTTACTTTAGTTGTAGTAGTCGTTGTTAAAAGAGAAAATAAATAGTGGTCGGACCACACAAAGGTCTCTGTTGCAGGAATGGACAGGTCCATCTGTAAGTACCACGACCTCACAGAACACCGCCGTGAGGAGGAAGTGATGTAACTCTGCATTTCGTATGGTGAGTGAGGTAGCCAGGGCCCAATTTATTAAAAGATGGCAAAGCATCTTCAACCCTTCGGGTGCTACAAATGTCAAGGGCGGTGTTTATCACGTAACATCAGGTGAACGGCCATCTCGTTCGCCACTTTTCGCATAAACAAAATAATCAATGACTCACTTAAGCCCTCTCCCTTCGTAATAATATTCAACTGGTGGAATCTTGACAGTCTTCAATGATGGAATCGGTAACACATCTGTCGTACTTCCCGCTTGCCATTTCTTCAAAAAACTTAATATGTTGCTCTCCAAAGGGTTTTTAGCTAGAACGATTATGTTAATTAAGCTATCTCGAATCGATCGAATCTCATCTATCGATCGAATCTACTTCAGTCTGGTCACTATTTAAAAAGCTTGTAAAGTCATTAATATAATAAAACAACACAACTTAATCAAACTATATTTACGGATTTATAATTAAAATATATTTACGCTAAAAATAAATCCGTAAATTATTAGTAATCCGTAATCGTATAAATACAAGAAATTATCATAAAACAACACTGACATGGCCTCAAATTATTAAGATTTACTACCGTTCCAGTATTGGTAATTTCTTGTATTTATACGATTACACATTATAAAAATTTATATTCCAGTATTTGAATATATTGCCGAGAACACCCGAAACAAATTTTTATTTCTCTTTAATTATTTTTGCATATAATAACAGCAACAGAGTCAGCGTATGAAAGATAATATTACCTTGACACGTAATCAATGGTAAGTAACAATTCAATAGAATCAAACTCAGCTTGGCCTTAATTTTTGCATAACAATAGACAATTGCCACTGCGTTTCAGTTAAAATTCCAGAAGACCCAGTATCACTGTTTGTCTTTTAATTACGTAATAATTTCTTGTTAATAATTAAACTAATTTTACGAGTTTAAACATACTCATAAATTACTTAGTAATTAAACGCATAAAATGAAAGATTTTTCATGAATTCTATAGGTTAGCGTCATAAAATTAAAGAGAGTAAAAAGACCAACACGGCTTAATATTATTTCAGGCATTGTAGGCGCAGTCGTCTTAGTATGGTAGTACAAAAATTTAACCGTGGTATTACAAAGTGTAAAGGAAACTGTATGTTTATACTTACATGAATTTAGATGAATTATTCTACACAAGATTAATTAAAATAAGTTTACTGTTTCGGTAATTTAAAATCTAAGTAAAACGGGAAAAATCTGTAAAACTTATTTTTAACCCAACATATCGTTGTCGTTAAGTAAACCAAAAATCAAAACTTATGTATAGTTTCTTTTTAAGGAATTGTTGCCTTGGAATTAAGATTTTAAACCTATTTGTTCTATGTATGATTCAGCCTAGCGAAGATATTGTCAATGGCATCCGACTGTCTGTCAATTTTGTTAAAGTTTAGCCATGGTTCGTTATATATCTAGTATGGACGTAATGGATGCTGAAGAGAATAAATTTACGGCATTGAAACAACTCCATAGACATAGCAAATCTTAAACAAACACTATGAATGTGAATCGTTGAAAGCCTAACAAAACCTGTCAAATTAAACGTTTTTATTATTACGTTATTTGTATTTTTATTAGTATTTTGTTATTACGCTACGTTATTGAATAATGTGTTAGTGCTATGTATAACGTTATTATTTTTATAAAACTTTTTGGTAAGGTGTCCCTCGAACTGTCCTATAACTATTGTCCATTTAGTCCATTTAGTTTGTTAAAGAGACACGTGACCGACATAATATGCACGTTTGTGTGTATGTGATGTTGTTATCTTTGTCGTTAACTTTATTTATATTGCATAAATAATTATGCATATTTTTAACAATAATAATGATGAAAAGAACGTCATAAAATATGTAAAAACCCTAATTTATGTTTTCATTTAATTTCTTTAGTACCTGGAGGACCTTGGTAAATCGTGTATTTTGGAAATTACATTTAGATACAAATTACTGAGTAATTTGTGGATCTTACCGACGTAATAATAAGAAAATATGAACTGGTGTTTTCCACAAAAGAAAGAACTTAAAAAAAAAAAGGGAAAAAAGAACAAAATCATCTAGATGGACAAAAGATAAAAAATAAAGAAAGCAATGATCTGGAATCGAAAAATAAGTATGTAAATGATCGTAACACGAACCACGGCCTTCTGTTTCGGGGCCGCCCGATTACCGACCGAGCTATTATAACATTTTTTTACGGCGAAATATACCGTCATATTCGAATGATATTTGTCATTCCCTGAAAACAGGAATAAAAGGACATTTTCTAAAAATGAAACCTAGCTAGATCGATTTTTTGCCCCCGAATCTACGCACATACTAAATTTCATGAAAATCCCACGAAGATTCCGATTATATATATATATATAATTTCATAGTGTTTAAAACTATCGCTATAGCTATAGCTTCGTGATGTTTGCAAAATGTATACTTTTCAAAATTTTTTCGAAAGATTTCAATTTTGACAACTTTTCGGCATTTACCTATAATTCCAAGTTATCAATTGCATTTAATGTCTTTTTACCATTTTTCACAAACAAAAAGTGCGCACTGGCAAAGGGGTTAAAAAAGACGTGTATGCGCATAAGTAAGTACACACTCACATTTCTCGAATATTCGCACCTTTACAGTAGCAGCGACAAATAAATTTCGGTTATCTTCTCGGCTTTAACATAACATCTCTATGCAAATAATTTATCATGAGGTAAATATCATGCTCTCGCAGCTGTAACATTTTCTATTAGTTAAATTACTTATCGTAATTATTATGTAACATATTTATTTTTGTGATGTGGGATTCAACTGTTCTGTTCTGTACTTTAGTATTCCTAAATTCACTTACTGAATTTAGTAATTAACAAAAAATGTTTTTTTCTTATCTTTTATCTCGATAATCTTATTTTAAATACGGATATATCGCGAAAGATGATGGTGAGAAAAATAATTGTGTTAAATATTATTGTAAAGCTTAACTTACTAGAAAGATTTTATCGACCGTAGTGATGATAAAGTATTTCGTATTTAAGTTGAACTTTACGTATTTAATTATTGTTATTAATGGCTTCTACTTACGCACAATTTGTCCATTTGTCGCAAAAACAAACATAAGCAAAATTAACTCGAGACAATTCATACTGATCACGAAACTGGCAAACCGTCGAGATCTTTCAAACGACTAAACATTATCATCGACGATGTCTCATCTTTATATACCGCAATTATTTGCTTTAATGGTCCAGAATTTCGTCCTATAAAAACTTGAACTAAATATTATGTCCTTTTAATACAATTAGACGGTCAACATTACAATATGACATGATTTTCTCGTCATTAGATGTGGAAAAGTTTTATGAGCCAATTATTAAAAGCAATTAATAGAGAGTTTTAACTACCAATAAAACTTACCTATTATTTTTTCAATCAATATCCGGAATCCATCTTGAGTCAAGCACCTGTCTTCCGACCTCAAATCAGCGTTATTTTCCCCCTCTCCGATAGTGGCGCCCTTCTATGCGACCTATGGAACTAGCTTAAGCACCGGGTTACCGCTCGTCATTATAGAACTCATGATGCACCAGGTAGACCTTACCTGGATTCCGGATATTGATTGAAAAAATAATAGGTAAGTTTTATTGGTAGTTAAAAATCTATTATTTGTTTGGTATCAATATCCGGAATCCATCTTGAGTGATGTGTTTGTTATCACCTGGTGCTGCAAAGGTGACGCTATAATGTGAGTAAATGTACTGAAATAGGTAGACACATGGCAAAAATAAATACTCATAATTTAGGAAAGAAAACGAACTTTTATTACAAACTATCCAAATAAAACTTATAAACTCGAACAGTTCTAATTTAGTCGTCCGTAACCGGGTCAAAGTAATTTAATAACGATACTGGTTCAGTAATATTTTGTAATCCGTGAACAATCAATTCTCTATGATAATAATTTCGAAAAGTACTAATCGTCTTCCAATTTCCAGTTGCTAGAATTTGATCAATTGGGAAATTTTCTACAAAGTTTAGTGAAGCTACCGCTGATCGAAACGATCCTGGAGTTGCTTCAATACCTGCTTCTTTTAAAAGAGATTTAACCCAACCCCCTATTACCGTTCTTGAAGCAGGTTTAAGTTCATTTCTAACAGCTATAAATAAATTAGTTATGTTTTGTCTACGATTTTCTGTTAAGCGTAATAACAGTCTTATCCAGAAAACCATATTTAAATTCTTATCGGGGTGGGCTCGAACTCTCCATCCAGACTGTCTGCGATTGAAATTGTCAGTCTTGGAACCAAAAGCTGGCCAACTATATTAGTTCCTTCATCAATTAAACTCTGACCGTCCACGTTTAGCAATGTGAGATCATGAACTCTTCGACCTGAGGCTAAAAGCAAAAGTGTAGCTGTATGTCTCGAAACCTGGTAAAGATTGTTTTCATCAGGGTTGTACGAATTCATATATTGCAACAAAAGTTTTGGATTCCAAATGGGCGGCTTTGCAGGTTTCTTGTCTACTACGGAAATAGCTTTTAAAATACGTTTTATACGGAAATTTGATGACAAATCAATATTGCTTGTTAAATGAGTAAATGTTGATATTACCGACTTATGCACTAGGATGGTTCTATAAGCAAGGCCGATATCATGGTGAAGATGAGAGAGATAGCGAGCAACCTGGTCAGCATTGGGATACTTATAATTAATAGATTGGAATCACACCAAATCTTCCATCTATCCCATGCCGGCTTGTAGGTTTTTATTGTAGAGTCTCGCCAGCTAGACATTAAAAGCTGCTTTTCCTGATCGTTCCAATCTGTCAGCATCTCTTGCCACCCAAAATCAGCCAGGCTTCTAATCTTAGTGTTTGAATCTCTGGTGGGTGAGTGCCTGTTCTCGTGTCTAACAGAGTGTTCGACAGATCTGGAATCGGAAATGGCTGCTGTAGGGCCCTGCTCTGAACATCCGTTTGCCAAAACACTTTGTTCCATCTCGGAGCAATTAGTATATATTTTCCGCTGGATTGGTTCAAATGATTGAGGACTCTGGGTATCAGGTTTGGTGGGGGAAACAGCCACGCGAGTCCGTAGTGCCACTGGTGAAGAAATGCGTTGTACTGTTGAGCGCTCTGGTCCTCCATATCCATTGAGATGTACTGCGGCACTACATGAGCCGTCTTCGACGCAAAGAGATCGACTTCTGGTGTGCCCCACATCTGAAATATGACTGCTGTCGCTGTTGATTTCAGATGCCATTCGGGGCACGATTTCTGACGTGACAGAGCATCCACCTCTGTGTTGTACCTGCCCGGGAAATACTGAGCTACTAGATGCATATTCCACTTGTCCAAAATACCTAGAAGTTGTCGCGTCAGCTGGAGAATTTTCACCGGCTTCGTACCACCCTCTTTGTTTATGTACGCCACCACGCTGCGGTTGTCGGTTTGGAGGAGTATTTGCGCATTCTGAAGTTGATGTTGCTGTTGTAATATCGCTGCGTACACGGCAAACATTTCTTTTTGGTTTGCGTGCCAGGCTAGTTGTCGGTTCGTCCAGGCCCCGGTGATTTTTATGTCGCCGAGCTGTGCTCCCCAACCGATATCCGATGCATCCGTGGTCAATAAATGGGCCATGGGCTCCATGTGTATTGGCATGCACCCCCCTATTGATTCTGACCACCACTCCATTTCCAAGCGTGCTGGCAGAGGAATGACCACTCTGCGATAGGGGTGATCCTTCGGCAGCTGTCGGCTGTAGTATTGCAGAGTACGACAATGGAGCCGACCCCTTCGAGTCACGTATGTCGCAAAGTTAGGGATTGATATTGCTTGAGAGACCACTTGCGATTTTTTAGCCGATGCTGAAGTGCTTTGCGTAGCGATAAACACTTCGGCTCCGACAAGGACTTTGCGTTGCGTTTTGTGTCCCATGTTATGCCAAGAAACTCGAGGCATTGTGTCGGAGCCAGCACGGACTTCTCGAAATTGATAGTCCAGCCCAATAACCGCATTATTCTTATTGTAAATGATATGTCGTCCCGTAGCTGATGCCTGGAGCCGTTTGCTAGGAGAAAATCGTCCAAATATACCACGCACCTGACGCCATGACTCCTTAGGAACTCTGCTACCCAATTCGTTATTGACGCAAACGTTTTGGGGGCTGACGACAGACCGAACGGTAAGCACGTCATCTGAAGCAATTGGTGTTTGCGCGAATCTCCATGGTAGTTGATTCTCAGGAATCTGCGATGCTGGCGAGCTATGGGCACGTGGAAATACGCTTGGCTCAGATCTAACTTTACCATCCAGTCTTGGTTCTGAAGGAAGTCTGGTATACGAAAGTGATTGAAAAGCCGAAATTGTTTCGTTGTTACAAACTTGTTTAATTGTTTCAGGTTTAAGATTGGGCGGAATGTCTGATCTGGTTTGGGTATAAGAAAGAACTTTGAAAGGTAGCTGGGACTTGGTTCTGCCTGTTCTAGTATTCCTGTGTCTAACATATTGTTTATCTGTGAAGTCATATCTTGAGAAGTTTTGGTTCTGAAACACTGTATCGCTGTGGGACTTGGAAATATTAGTGGCGGCTTTAGGATAAAAGGAATACGTACTCCATTTAAAAGCTTTATTATTGTGTTTGGTGCTCCAAAATTCCTCCAAATATTTTGAAATCGCCCGAGACAGCCGCCGTAAAATGCTTGATAATCATTCACGACGCTTCTCCCTATTGGTACGCTGCAGATGAGATTTCTTTCCCTTTCGCTTGTCGCGATTGTTGTTCTGTCTAATTCGAGCTTGATTTGTTTGGGAAGAATTTTGTTTGCCCCTCTTCGTTGAGGGCTCTTGTCGAAAAAACTTTGCATCCGACTGTTTACTAGTTGACGGCCTTGGATTTGTATAAAAACTGTTTTTATTGCTAGGAACTGATCGTATTAGTTTGTCTACTCCCCCTATTTTTTGAAAATAACTTTGAACTGATTCGTCGTTGAATAGAGATTGTGAGCTAGGAGGGATTTTATGTAAAACTTCTCTATGAAAATCTTCAGTAATTTGACTTAAAAGAGCTTCTCGGCGCAAATGAATAAGATCCGCTCTCCTGCCACATACTAATTGTAACAAATCATCAGTCACTTTACTATACCCCGAATCTTTTGAAAATAGCGATTGGATCTTATCAAACAAAGAATTTGGATTAAGGAACTCCTTGGAATCACTAGCCCAATCTACTAATTTTTGTAAAGTATTTTGCAATTCATCCTTTTGACAAAGCAAAGCATTTGATAAAGCGGCAAAAGAGCGCTCTAGCAAATACGAACGGGAATCTTCTTTTAAGGATGCAGCTTCAAATCTTTTTAATTCATCATTAACTTTAAGCTCGATGAACCCGGGCGTAGCTAAATATTTCTTTTGGACGTCAGAAAATCTTATAGCGTACCAATCTTCACGATTAAAATGTTGTAATTCCATTAATTTTTAAGATGTTTATCGTTTGCTTTAATGTAAATAGGATCTTTAACAGTTGTACCAATATCGGATAATATATTGAGTTGATTATTTTTTATTTCACCCTCAGGGCGCCGTAAATCAAGATCATTTGAAACTACTGCTGATTGCTCTTTATTTAAATTAAAATTGCAATGAGCAATGTCACTATTTTTTGTCATAAGATTAGTTAAAAATGCAACTTGCTGGGACGCTATAATGACGAGCGGTCACCCGGTGCTTAAGCTAGTTCCATAGGTCGCATAGAAGGGCGCCACTATCGGAGAGGGGGAAAATAACGCTGATTTGAGGCCGGAAGACAGGTGCTTGACTCAAGATGGATTCCGGATATTGATACGAAACAAATAATAGATTGATTCTAGATCAAATGAATTACTCTTCAAAGATATCAGTTATATTCAATATAAGGTATAAATTATCATATTGTAAAAAAAATAGTGAGATTAAGTGTAGTAATAATTGCAAAATATCTTAAAATCATCAAATTGGGTGGGGTCTATTGCCGTACTAAATATTGGAAAAATATGAAAGGAATAGATGACGCGCATAACAGTAATCTGCTTGCTTAAACTTCAATAAAATAGATTCAGGCCAAGGCTTGTACTGTGTAGT